AATTGCTCTGAATTTTCGGCAAGCTAACTAGCACATTCCCCTCATAACATTTGAAGAGTTCCAACTGAACCGATGGCATTCTTCTGCTAGAGCTGGCACATACTCAATACTTCAGTTTTAAGAATTTATAAAATTTGCTAAATCAGTATGACCGTTGCGGAAATGAGCGTCCGCACATTCGTTGATTGGGACTTTAACCATGGGTAATTTCTGACTTTAAAAAGAAGTCAAAAACATCTAGTTTTAACCTGACTTAGGTAGGGTGACACAAATCGTGGAAGATGGAGATTCCCTTCTCTTTTTGCGCACGGACGACATTTTTAAAATTTTTAATTGTGAAGTACAAGTTGAGTAAAAGCGATCCAGAATGAACTATATAAGGTGAGGAGTAGTAAAGATTCACTCGAAACAAGACTGCACTAACAACGCTTATTGAGAAGATAATAGAGAGTTTGCTCTTCAGACGTCTTACACATGAGATGTTCGCTTAAACTGAGAACTATGGAAAGAGAATCTTTGGGAGGCAAATAAAGAAAGAAGCTGTAAGAAAAGCAATCGGCAATGACTAGACTTGCTGGAGTCCTCTTCTATTCTCACTTCAATTTCCACCTCTAACTTGAGTTCTGCACAATTCGATTACGCAGCAGAGGTATGCATATGTGCCCCATCATACATGTAGAGCTGTACATCAAATTCGACAATGATTCGAGGAATTACAAAGTTCTGTCATTTCGTGAGGTTTCATGATCTAACTAATAATGCGAAACATCGAATACCAGATGAGCAAGAGAAAACGACCACGTCAACTACATCAAATTAGAATAGTTGGAAAGTAGAATGCCTTCGAGGAATTACTGACCATACGAGGAGCATCTGAAGTTTGAAAGAAGGACTTGATCCCGTGAATATTGATGCTAGCTAACTGTACTGGCTTCTTGCTGATCAGAAATAGAGCGGCCTATGCTTGGATCTGAGCGGAGGTCGTCGGGACCGTCTCATTAGTAAGTAGTGATTGTGAGCGACGTCACGCAAATGTAAAACCACCTTTGGGTGGATGAACACATTCAGTATGAGAGTAATAAGCGGGTCACCTTTGTTCTTCTTTTATATGTGATGTCACCGGTAAATTGTGGTCAAACAAGCTGGTTCGTATGCAGTATTCACACAGTTTGTTGATCTTACTGTAAAAGTAGGTTATTGTGCAGAAGGAAAAATTCAAAAAAAAAACCTCAAGTTTGTGTTAAAAAGAACGAAAGAGGTACCTTTACAGAACCGTTATTGAGTCTTCCTCTTGGAATGGCCCTTCACTTAAATGCTTGCTTTGCACCTTTTCTTTTCATAGCAGAAATAAGCTGCTTGATTTTAAAGGTAACCAATACTTTAAATATAATGTTTGTTCAGACTAAATGAAAACTAACCTATTTTTCAGTATCCCTATCTGCCGGTGACTTATAAGGTGATTTTGGTGGCTGTTTTATTTGTATATATATTGGTTGAGATCGTGAGGCTATTCCTAGGGATAGTTGGCAACCTCGGTGAAAAGGTAGGATTTGTTCATTTAAGTTCTTCAAAATATAAGCAAAGCGAAG